ATACAAAGAAAAAATTTCCTCCGTATCAGTTGCATATTAATTTTAATGTTTTCATCATGACAAGACCTCTGTTTTAGAACAAATGACAGCAATATTTCCCCTCCCACAAGGCATAGGATAAAAAACAACCTCCAATTAATAGTATGAAAGCCAGTTATTAATAAAACAAACACACCCAGAGGTACTACTTATTTCAGCAAATAGCAACAAATATATTTCAAAGAAAATAAATTTCCTAACAATGTCAGTGTTCTTTCTTCACCCTTTCTCTTGTTTCTTTTTTACCATTTCTTTTTCTATGTGTCTTGCCCATCAGTTCACTGTCATGAAGTAATGGGCTGGCACTCTCAAAACTTTCAAAATCAAATCTCCATAATGATCTTCTAATTCTTTCAAATTCACTTATATTGTAGCAGCAACAGGTATCAGCTTACAGTCACAGTAGAGAGGCTCACAGAATTGTATTTGAAACCCTTCAACATTTTGGAATGAATAGCAAAACAATCCACATGGAGAAAATGTGATAATGGAGCCATAACATGATGGCATCAGGCTCTTAAAACATTTCTCCTCAAAGCTCTATTGTATGCATGATTTACTTTGAGCATAGGGATATCTGGAAGCCACATCAAAGAGATAATGGATAGACATTTTGTTAACATATGTAGAACTGATGCCAGGCCATAAAACAACACTGCACTGAGTATCACACATCTTCAGAAAAGTCTGGTTGTTTTGTGTTGATTTTCTTTTCTTGAGGTTGGGGTGGATTTTTGGTCTACAAATTATTTCTTCCGTTGTGTGCATGAATGCCTAACAAGCTCAGAAGCCTGGACAATTTTCATGTTCTCTTGTTCCCTGGATCTTTGCCCAGTATCACAAAACTGAGACAAGGCTGATCTTTGAAACTGGGAAAGGAAGAAGAATGAAAAAGTAAATAAGCATCTATGTCCTTTGCAGAACAGGTTCTGTTACTTCAATCACAGACTGGTAATAAACCTCACAATCTATGCTACTACCTTAGCATCTCTGTTTCTCAGGTCAACCCTAGGACTGCTACTTTCAAAGCACTGATCAAACTTGGCACTAAGCTATAGTACATTCTTCAGTGGTCTTTCATGTCCTTGGTGTTCAAAATGGAGACTTTTCAAATGGTACATACTATAGATATGGCATTCCATAAAAACAGGAGGCCAAAAAGCTTTGTAGAGTGAATTCCTGGAACAGCTCTCCAGGATTCTGAAAAGGCCACTTATAAGCTCCTCTGTTTCTGCTCTACAGTATTTATCCTGGATCACAGAATAATGAGCGGCCATTAAATTTATGTACTTTGCAGGGCATTTAAGAAACAGTTTTTCCATCACTTAGTAGGATAAGTAAAACAGTGCTGCACACCAAGAAACACACAGTATGAAAGGACACCGAAACTCAAGATTGTAGAAGAGTTATAACTTTATCCACTTTGATACCTTTTCAGTTAATCATATATTTTGTGGTTCCATGCTTGGCACATTAGGTACATCGAAGCCAGATTAACAACAAACAGCTGCTATTTATAGCATTTCCCCAGAGATGGGAACAGTTGCTGCTGCACTTTAAGACCAATCACGTTACATCTGTATTAAAATGAGAAGACAAACATGTTTTACTGCCAGCTCTGCCTGAATTTCAAATGAAAACCACATTAGTTCACTTGTGAATTTCTCGGTCAGTCAGTCTCCAGTGTCAGCTTACACAGTTTAAATAAAACATCTTACCAACACACAATACTGCACAAAAGGATGCTAACAGCATGGGCCTAGGTGCAAGAGTGCTCAAATACTCCTCCAAGATAAAAGTCAGGAATGAACTGGAAATGTCTCTAATCTGCAATAGCCTGGACCTCAGCAGGTTCTGCTACCATACCTTTGTCATTTCACAAACTCTTTGGCTCAATTGCCATACAGGCTTAAATATGTTAAGTCCCATAGCCCACAGGTTTTCTGCTCTCACTGGTGTCCTAAGCACCGTGAGAATGTGATCCCAAGCTCAGTATGGTTGCCAGGACATCAAGTCACAGCATGTTTGGTCCCACTGTTCCTCATTTGTTTATATGAAGAAAAGGTGGATCTCGAATTCATTATTTTAGAGGTACAGGCTCACCTCCTTTGGGCACCTACAAGTTAATCAGGCCTCAGCAGGCACTAAACAAGGACCTCAACTCTCATGAGGAGGGTGGATATCTCTGCTCTGAGCACGCACAATCACACCTGCTCTGACATAGCAAGAGTCTTGTCTGGGGTAAACAGTTCTTTCCTAACTTAGAATGAATAATACAATTATAAACAGAGCAGAGACATTGGTGAGACACTGAACTTTACTGACAGCATGACAAAATCCATTTCCTTTTTCTGTTTAGATGCTTTTTACACCACCTGAAAACTTGATGCAAAGTTGCAGCTCGCAGTAGGTTTTACCATACATTTTTTTTCTAGCTGGAATGTTTGCTTACTGCCTACTGGCCAGCCAAACAGAAAGGATAAAGCAGGAAGGAAACCTGAAGGATCAGTGGGTTAATTTCTCAAAAGGACTTGACATTGAGTACAGAGATGGCTCAAAAAGACACAGGACATCTGTGCTCATGTCACATCATCACCTCCGAAGGTGAATGCACTCCTGAGAGCCTGATGCTTCACAAAGCAGTACTAACATTTCTCTTACTGCTTTAGGTTACTTGGAAATGCAAATGTGTTGAAGTTAAGCGTAGGTGCTTAAAATAAGGTTTGCAACTTGAACAATTCTGAGTATCTGTTTTGGTGATTTCAACATTTCTTGAAGCAACAATGACTTTCAGAATGCTAAGTCTAAAATACAACAAACCTTTAGGAAAATATATAAAAAATATGTCAACTACTGTTCTTCTGTTTTCCTTAACATTTTTCTACTTTTACCCCCCAAACCCCAACTGCTATATGCAAAAATCCAGATAAAGCACTTGGAAAAATTATTGAAAAAGGAGGAACAGAACTGGATATGCTGCAAAAGTGGTCAAATTAAAAAAAAAACAAACAAAAACAAAACCAACGAAACAAAACAAAAAAAGAACCCCCCCAAAAACCCTAAAGAAGGTAAGACAAAAGTTATTTTCTCCTTTAACATATTTTAATAATAATAATTAATATCGCTTATAACATAAGCCTGTCAGACAAATATTATTTCAGTTCATGGTGATTGTTTTTAATAAATATGTTAAAATCACATGGAAGGAGTTAATGAATTATGTATAAATCAAGCAGTATATTAAATTCTGGTCAATCTATAGATGAACACAAGTATACCTAAATATGTAGTTACATCTTGAGCAGAATCACTTTTCATCAGACTTCACACACTTTCTTCAGGGTCCTACAGCAACCCTCATTTTCAACTAAGTATCAGGTTTAACTTTAAGTTACAATTTGTTGCAATACCTGTGACCAGTTATGTTTCACAGGTTTCAACCTAATTTTAAACTGTTTTACTTTAGACCTTTGTAAGAGTAACACCACCCACTGTTGACTTCTCACCCAGAGTTCAGAGATCCAGATTTGGGTTTGTTTCAATTCAAAACTTAAACTGAAATTTTGGCCTGTGGAAATGGCACCTTTCTGCTCCCCTGGATTTGTACTGTGTTTTGAAACACTTTGGCATAGAGTGCATTGTAAGAGCTTGGATCTGTAATGTATTTTATTGCCTAAATACCAAGATGGTTCCCATTTTTACCAGAGTAACGCAGTGGAATGAGCATGGCAATGCACCCATTAAGGCTCCAAAAGGAACTGAGTACTAAAAAACCTAAACATTCACTTGTTTTATTTTTCTGTTTCTTGGTTACATATTCAAAGTGTGTCCACTACCACTCCCATTATCATCAGCAGGGGGCTTGTAAATAAGCCTTTGCCCAGTGTTTAAAAAAAGTGAGCTTGTCAGTGGAAGTAGGGAAGAGATCCCAATCCACTTCATTACTTAAAGAAACAGAGCAGGACAGCAAAAGAGAATCAAGTCCAGGCAAGCACCTTAACATATCTTTCAAGTCTGCATTTGAACACTTCATAACCTGAATTGAAATGCCAAATTTTGAAATACACCAAACATAATTCAGGGAAGATAGCCTATTAACTGGTTAGAAACATTGTTAAAAATGCAGATAACATAAAATTAAATTAAATGCACCCTAATTAGAAAATTGGAACATTTAACTTGGTAAATATGTGTTTCACGAAGCAAGACTCACAGGTGACCTTATGTAAACCAAGCAGTCATCAGGGCAGTTACTCTTCTTTCCCTGCCCAGTGATCAAGCTGCTGAAACTCTACATTCATGCCAGCACTGAGGATCTGTAGACACCACAAGCCAGAGCTACTGAACTGCCATCTCAGAAAAGAAAATCTCTTAAATAGATAAAACCTCTTGCCTGGTTTGAAGGTCAGAGATAGACATTCTTCTTCTCCATTGAAGCCATAAAAGTACAAAGTATAAAAAAGCATTGTGGCTCATTAGGTACTCGAGCAGCAATTTCGAGTGCTGCTGTAACTGAGGTTGCATCAACATTTTCACAATAAAATGTACTGCCAGAAAAATAATTCCCTGTTGTAAACTGACAGAGAAGACTTTGTAGCAGGCACAAATCCTTCAGCACCATGAGTTTGGTTTGTATGATTTTTAGCTAAAAAGTTGGAAGAAAAGAGAAAGCAAGAAGAAAAGTTTTATAAATGGAAGTCAACAATGTAGAATTGCATAATGTTCAAACAGAATTTGTGGAGCAGACAGTTTATTCCAAACATACATACAACACCTGCTAAACATAGCCTGAAACCTGTTACCTGAAAAAGACTGAAAAGCTAAGATGTTTAAAATATAGAAGAGCATGTGAATAAAAGTTACTTGTTTTAGGGATTTCTTCAAAAGGGCTGGTTTTTTTGTTTGTTTATTTTATATTTTCAAAGAAAAAAATGAGGAGTTTTTTGTATATTTTCACCCACCTGCTCTGGGTACTTGCTTCCAACTATCTCTGCCACAGTGTTAAAGGATAGAGAGTCTGGGTAAGTCTTAGCTCCCATCCTCAGGTGCACAACAATCTTAGTGCCACGGAGAGACATTCGTGACATCATTTCAGCATCTTCCACAGAGATGCAAGCAGTGGGAATCTGGGGTACATCAGGCTGGTAACTCTGCTCCCCAGTATGTGGGCTGTTAAAAAAAAAAACAATCAACAAAACACAGTTTTAACAACTTCGTTCCTGTAATGTTTTTACAATTGCCATAGAATTATTAAAAATATATATATATTCATGACCATCCCCACATACTCTCAAAAGGGATATAGCTACAATTTTTAATAAACCTTTTGACAAAATATATCAAATGTTTTACACTAGTCAAAATATCTGACTTACTATTATCTATGTCTAGAAATCAACTCATTGTCAGGTCTATTTAGGTCATTGTCATGCTTTGATATAACACTCTATTCACTGCTTTACCAGAAAGAAAAGCAATGAAAAGCCGAAATGACCAGGTTGCCAGAAGTGCATTCTTTTTCCTGTGACAAGTAATGAAATTAAAGTTCACTATTAAATTTTAATGCTATTTTCCAAATAACAGAATTGCAGAACAGATTAGGTTGGCAGGAAGCTCTGGAGATCATCTGGACCAACTCCCTGCTCCAGTGGGCCACCCAAAACCAGTTGCCCAGAACAATGCATAGTGCACAAAAATCTTCACCTGTGAGCCTTCTCACAGCAACAGACACATTTTTTATACATATAAACAGACAAAAAAGTTTAACTTGTGTTATTTTTAAGTCTTCCAAACTGGAAAAAACACCCCATTTAATTCCTGGAGGAGATATATCAAGGAGGAAAGGAGAAACCTACTTTGTAAGGTTATAGATAAAAAGGTAAAACTTTAAATGGGAGACATTATTCAGTTCTATTTATTTAGAAGAATAAATCCTCCTCAACAATAACAAGTCATATTGTAATCAATAACATAACCTGTAGAGTAGGTATGTATAAATATTTATTTCACATGGAAATACTGAAATCCAGTTACAGGGGTCTTGCTAGAGCTTCTTCAGAGTATAGGCCAATCTATCTATTAGGATGTTATTAGGATCAGGATATTATTGCTCCCAGTTGTTTACTGAACCCCAATCAAAGGCCAGTGTCTCTTCCCATCAGCTTTGCAGGTCAGGTGACCCATGGCTCACCTTTGAAATAACTTTTAACCTGAAACTTGGACTCTCCTGTGCTATGTAATACTCCCCAAGTGGGATAAACTCATGTAGACCTATAAGTTCAGATCTTTTTTCCTTTTTTCTTTATTCTTTGTCAGAAAAAAAAAGGCACTTCTCATCCCCACTTCTAAACTGTGATAACTTAATATTTCTTTGAGTGTTTGGGGATAAATCCAGCATGTTAATCAAGAGACTTTCCAAACAATGTAAAATAAACAGACTGAAAAAAAAATTACAATTTCATGTACTAATGTTAAAAAACCCCAAATTCTACATTCAACAATTGAGCAGAAACTGTTTGTTTATGGTAATTTTAAATGAATGTTTTTGCCTATATCTTCTGGCAAGTTTGTGTCTTAGTACTAACATGGTGTGTATGCTGAATTGCAGTAATTCAAGTTTCACCACTGATTTCAAGGTCCTTGTTATTTCTCACATGCTCAAAAAAAGAAATCAGTAACACTGTATTTTCTTCTCTAGTTTAAGCAACAAGCACATTTCTTGCAGATGCTCCGGATAAGGTTTCTGACAACTCACTATGATCCACATATGCTTACACACCTCAAGTGAAGGAACATTTGCAGGTACAAAATTTACCCAGCTAGCCCAAAAAATAAACCTTGAAGTTACCCAGAAGTGCCATTTGTATGCTCAAACTACTACTCTGCCAAGATTACAAAAGTAAACCCTACTACCCAAATTAAATCATACTGGCACGGGCAGGCAGGGCCAGCAACAGCTCAGATGATACTGGGACCTGACAGGAATAGAGGACTGCCCTTTTATTTCTACAAAAAGGGAAACGGACCCTAAGCACGAGCAGTGCAAAGACACAAAGCAATACCAGAGTACTGTAGATTCCTAATGCTACAAGATGAACCCACATAGAAAACATTTGTGGCAGACACTAAGCATCCTGGGATGCACCTGATTAAAGTTCACATGCATGCAAAGCACATCATGTAAGCATATCATGTTAAGTATATCATCTACATAATAAATTGCTTAAGAAAGCGCCAAAGAGTACATAAAAAAAAAAAAAAAATCGAAGTAAAGCAAATTAAGTGTCTTTTATGCAGAGATAACCAAGAACTGGAAGGTTACTGACCATATGGCAAGACCTGAGCAAGAGCTAACAAAATAGAAACTACTAGCAGACTCTGTGTAACAGATGGAGAGAAGCATTCCTGAGTTTGGCTCACAACAGGGCAAACAGGATGTAGTTTGGGAAAATCAGAGAAAGAATTTTTTGGGGGGGGGGAGCAGGGGATGACAAGAAAGGTTTTTTTCATCGAGTCTGAACAAACATGATTTTGGGACTATTATTTCAAAAGAAGAAGGATCTTATTTAAAAAAAAAAATTAAACTGTCTTGCATTTACTATTCCTTGCACCTTGAAAAGGAAATTAAAGGAAAGCATCACATAAAACCAACTATAGAGATTATAAAGAACCCTGACTCTGAATCAGCATTCAACTTTACAACATTGGTACCTACAGGTAAGCAAAGTGCACATCTAGCATTTCCCACTAACACCTGGGAGTGATGTTAGTGTCTGCTTCAAACACACTCTCTGAAAAATGCTGTTATCCAACAAACCCTAAATTAATTCTGCAAAACTTTAAGGGTAATTAGGCTATTTCATATTTGATACCCCCAGTCCAATATCATAGTTTGGCGCTCAAAAAAGATGGTTAAGTACTTTTTCCATTATTTTTATTTACTTAACAAAAGCACTTATTTCGATTTTACATCTACTGAATCACCTCACATCCATATTTAAATTATTAATTGAAAACATCTTAATGTTACTACAAACTCATAGTCATTTGGCCCTGACATTCTTGTTCAACACCTGACAAAATTCAGATAAATAAAGCGTTTGAGTTTTGCTTTTGATAAAGTCCTACATTTTACATCTTGGCAAGTATTTAAGAAGAGTGTCATGATATGAATAAAAGCAGAGAAAAAAAACAACTCAATATTTTCTCTGTTAACAAGTAAGAAACAGATGTGGCTTGTATCTTACACAAAAGTGTAAAGGGAGGATAAAAAACTCAAAAAGAAGCTAGTTAATTTCTCTTCTGAGTAAAACAATCAAATGTGGAGAAACTAAAAATTGTGGATGAAAAGATGTGCTGCTGGTGTCAGGTCAGTTCTAACTCCTCTTACTGTGGTAGCTCGCACGCTACTCGCATGCTCCATTACTTTGCTCCTGCACTTCCAACCCTTATCTCTAAGATAAGCTAAAATGCCTAGGGAAAAAATAAACTGTGTAAGAACTAGTGCTTCAAGCTAAACTGGATGCTCTGATGGAAAACAGATCTCAAGTTGAAGCCTTGGGAAGTGATAGCAATCTCCTACAGGGAAAAGTAAGCATGACATTACAGGAACTCTAACACGGCTAAAAGGAACAAAAGACCCCAACCAATCAAAACTTGATTATACAAAAGCTTAGAAAGATTTATTTCAGCCATAATTTGTATACACATACCCCCAATGCATCATTCTTCACATCAACCTCAGAAAGTAATCTAGAGTTGGGAAATACAAAATCAATGTTTTCTAAGTATTGCCAGTGTTGTCTAAGTTTGCTCATTCAGACAAACACATTGCAAGGCTCTAATTAATATTTTCCACAGGACCCATGCAAAATTCACAGTATGAACCACATGGAAACTAAAAATTCAAATCAGATTAGCCAGTTTGTTAATATTGACTTAATTAATAAAATACATTTCTGAATAGAACCGTGACTACATTAATCACTAACTATACCCACAGCAAGATCACAGCCTTAACTCAGTAACAGGCTCACATCTTCCACATACTTTGCTTTTGTTTTTTCACTTGTATATTCTACATATCACAGAAAATCCCCTCATCACATACAAAGCTTTACACTTTAAAGGGGGTGATGGAACATGCTGTAGCAAAACAGAAGGAAAATTACACATCTTGCCCTCACAGTTACCTATGGAGAGTAGCTATTGGTGATTGCCTCACTGCTGTAACTTTCTCTGCATCACGAGCAGCATGACAAAGCCTCAACTCCACACAAGTAAATCCCCTTTTCCAGCACTATAAAGTCCTTACAAGGCAGAAGTCACCCTTGTCTGCACTCCAACTGTATGTTCTTCCAAGATTCTCACCATTATCTGGACAGAGAGGCCAACTGTAATTGCAACTAGTCAAAATGTCAAAAGTATTGTTAATCTTCTCAGAAGAATTAGATCTATAAAAATAAAATCAAGACTATTCTCCATTTACAACCACTTGGCAAAATATGAAAGAAATAAATTTAGCCTAATTTTGTGTTTCTGTCATCATTTGTACCAAGATTCACTTGCTTTGCTTGCTTCTTATATTGTCTTTGTGGGAGTTGATTGTTGGCTTACAGTAAGTTGAAAAGATATCAAGACTGTCAAATTCAAAACCAAATAGGAATACGCACAGAAAATTTTAAGAAACTGAAGAGCAAAAATACTATACAAATATGGAATTAAATATACTAAATAAATTAATTAAATAGTAGAAATAAAATAGTAGTCTTTTACAAAGATTAGAATATCTGGAAACCAGCCACACAGTGTCTCTTCCAGATTTCTTTGCACCAATCCTTAACTGGTGCAGCATCAGCACAAGTGTAATGGAGTGTAAGAAAGGCTCCAGAAGCTACCAGCCTTATCAAGGAAATTCCCTTTGAAGAAGATGGGAAGTCCAGTTACCACATGGACTCCATTTAAATTAGCATTTAGAAATTTAAATTTAGAAAACTGCATTTAGTGAGTTCTAGGCACTCAATAAAATTAAGCTTTACCAAAAAAGCGTAATAGCTTTGCCTTAATTATATATGTCCTATGTTACAGAACGTAACTTACACATATATGTTTATATTTCACTATAATATTCAGTAACACAAACACCAAGAGAATTCTTCAATAAGTAAAAA